ATATTAGCTTGACTGGGCTTATGATTCTCAGTTGGTTTGCAGGTTTGTAATGATGCAATCTGGCAGCTGTACAATGATGTAATCATACCCATGATGTGATCAGCTGATCAGTTATAAAGATACTGAGGTGACATGTGATCCTTAGTTGGGCCACAGCCTTGATCTGACATAATGAGAATTTTCCTGGGATATGGCTGATATCATCCTCTGTTTTACAAGACATTAAAAAGAGAGATAGAAGCTCTTCTTTCAACAACAAAGAAAAGGCAGAAACAGACCATGTCCTCTGGACTCAGGATTCCTGAGCTGAGAACCTCCTAGACCCAGAAAAAGATTGATGCTAAGATACATGGAAATTTCCAAGGGATGAAAATCCTAAAGATGTTGGAAGGTGACACAGACTTCTTCCTCCAGGGGCAACAGAGATAAAAAGTCTTCCTTTATATCTGACACCCCAGACCGGGACTTCTTGGCTCTCAGACTGTGAGAGTATAAATTTCTATTTGCTAAAGCCATCTACTTATGGGATTTCTGTTATAACAGCACTAAGGTAGCTAAGATTATTTAGAATAAGGACCACCTGGGTAGAGTGTAGAGCACAACGGGAGAAATGTAGTAATTCTTTAATGCCGTAGGTCCTAAGGACTCTGTAGTGGCTCAGAGAAGTAGCCAGAAGTGAAGGAGAAGAGGTCTGTCTGCCTTGGTTCTAAATAGTGACTCACCTACTGTGACTCCCCATTGTCTCCAAAAAGGAGTAAGTAGATGACCTTCCCCTGCGTACCACCTCACTTGGCTTGTTGCCTTCTAGTGACCTTTTGTGATTTCTCTTTCAAGGTACTTGATGGGTTGTTTTTAGGTTTGTTAGCTTTTTCTACTTATAACTAAACTTCCTTTGAATAAAAATGTCCTGGGGAAAGGTCAGGACTCTGGGACTTGCCTGCCAGTATCAGTGAGGAAGGTGATAAATGATTCCTTACCATCTGCCCAGCGAAGGAGACCTCCACGAAGGGGTCCACGAGGTCCTTGCTGTCACCCACAAATGCTTTGGTGACATTTGCCATGATGCTGGAGTTTATTTTTGGCAACCCCTCTGCTTTGTAGAGTCTTACATAGAATCTGGCCCAGGGTCTTTCTGAGGGGAACCCATGGGGAATCAAAAGGTTCCTGAAAGTGGAACAAAAATGACAACATCAAAATGCTCTCATTCTGAGAGAATAGAGAGCAAAAGTAAAAGCAATTCTCAGTCTGAAAGGAGGCTTCTGACACATGAGAAAAATCTGAATAGATGAGGATTCACCCCTGAGATGGTTTTCTGCCTACTGTAAGTGGCTATGAAGGGGATGGAGAGGGTGAACACACATTTATTCAAGTCCTGGGAGTCTAGCATCAACACTGTCTCCCACTCTGCGCCTTAACAGAAGTATGTTTAAGACTTCCCAATCCATAAACCAGAGGCTGAAATTATGATGTGTTCTGAGAAAAGTCAGCTAGACTCCAGAACTGCTTTTAGACAATGGCTACGTAGGAGGACAGATGGTTCATGTTCTAGAAGTTGGCCTCTCAATGGATAATCATGTCTTTGACAACTCATCATGGCAGCCCTGTTAGAGCAGAATCCCTGGGTGATTCATAACTTCGTAGTTCTTATATGCACTCTTTAGGGAAAGAGGTCAAGGCAGGGTAAAGAGAAACTATGATTGGGACACATCATTTCTCTCACCCAGCCCTGGGTGGACCTGGCTCACTTTTCTATCTGCTCCTCGGCATCAGAGATTTTCAGGTTGTTGGTCTTCAAGACATCGCCTTTCCCAGTCACGCTGATGTCACACTTCAGGTACCCCTTGGTGCCTGTCCTGATGTCGCCAGGGTCCATGAGCAGAGCCCACTTGTCACAGAACTGATGACCTGTAAAAGTGCCCTGACACCTCAGATGCTCTGTCCAGGTAGACCTGGTGGCTGCACCCATATATGTCCCTCTAACCCTGGCGCCTCCCATGCATATTTTCCCCTTTGTTATTCCAGGCAGCCTCTCTTCTCAATCATTTCCAATTCTCATACCCATATCCGTCTCCTTCTCTCCCTTGCCTTTTGCATCCTTCCTGTTCTCTGCCTTCTCCTCCAACTTAGCTGGTATGTTTGGGAAGCCTCCAACCTGCTGTGAATTATCTACACTAGTCTACACAGGAGTCCAGATCTGACTGAATACAAGCCGCCATTGAGTCAACTTCAACTCCTGGTGATCCCGTGAATGTCAGAATAGAACTGAGCTCCACAGGGTTTTAATGGCTGAGGTTTCAGTAGTAGATTTTTATGTCTTCTGAGGTACCTCTAGGTGAAATTGAACCTCCAATCTTCCAGTTACCAGCCAAAAACGTTAACTGTTTGCACCACTCAAGGAAAGGAGAATATGAATGAATTGTGGAACTAATATATGTCCATTGGTCATGAATGAGGCTCATGGATATTTTTGTTTAACCTGTCCTACACTTTGAAACAGTACTTCAAAGTTCCTTAGGGGGGGAAAAAAATCTATATTTTTAACTTATCTTTAGCCAAATTTCTAACATCTTTTTAAAAAAAATCTGGCAATACCAGGTTCATGTTTCTGCTGCCCCTCTCCTATGGTTCATGAGACTTTCTATTCTCTACAGAATCTATTGTTTCTCAACATACTGTACCAAGTCCACAGTCTTTAGTTACAAGCACTGGCGAGAAGCCCCCCTCCATGGTCATGTGTGTTGGGAGCCACTGTTGACAAGAAGGGTCTCTGTTACTAGCTCTAGGTCTTGGACAACTTCTCTGAGTTTCAATTTCCTATAAACCATGGAAAATAGTAATTCTTATAACTCTAACTAAACTGATTCTGATATAGTTGACTCTCCAGTGAGTTTTCAGAGACTATAAATCATACAGCAGCAGCTGGTGGATTTGAACCACCTGCCTTTGGGTTGGCAACACAACTCCTTACCCTCTAAGCCACCAGAGATACAGCAAACACTTACATGGTGTTCCATGGTCATTATCATGTGCCAGATTGTATAGAACATTATGCATATTTGTTAACTTCTGTCTCCAAAAACTCAATATGATATTATCCCCAAATGTACAGGTAAAGAGTCAAAGACTCATATATAGAAGTTAACTCATTTTCTCAAGGTTGTAGAGTCGGGAAACAGCACAGCAGAATTTTAATCTAGGCAATTTGACTCCACAGTCTCTATTCTTAACTCCTATACTTTATTGCCTCTTCTGCCCTTGATGTCTCACAATGCATGATGAAAAAGGATTTGTGAGGAAAATAAATTGCTCAGGCCTGTGGATGCATAAAATAATTTTATAATTAGATTGTATACTATTAAAGGCAAAAGCCATGACTTGCTCAGTTTGCAAGCTGCACAAGCAAGTGAATGAGAGACCTCAAGGTGAAGTATCTCCAAAAAGAATAGCAAGACAGAGATTGGTAGGAGATGCTTTCTTACCAGGTTGGTTGTACACAGTCCCCAGGTCTACTTTGAAGGAACCAATCAGAATGCTTCCTATCAGCTTGTGATGAAAAACCTGAGGAGAAACAGGAAGTGAGTACCAGCAGCTCTACATTCATCTTTTGAGTCTGTGAAATGGGCTCATGGTGTTACAAAGAGGATTCTAGAACTTGACCCTACCTAGCCTTCACTCTCTACTGGAGCACAATGAAGTCAGATCATCAGACTTCAGGTTGTAACAGTCTTCAGGAAGATCTTATCTGCACCTCTTCCTTCCAAGTAGGTTTTCAAAGAATCTGATATTGAAGGACATCTAATAACTCCCACTGTCTGAAAATATTTCTGCAACCAAAGCAAATCCTAGTGTACCTGGTCCTTCACCACCCACTTCTTCTGTCTTGAATGCTCTGAGCAAATGTCCCTTCCTCCAATCAGCCCCCCAGATTCCCACAGCTGAAAGTGATCCTTCTCTACTGGGGTTCCTGCAGCACTTTGCTCACAACTTTCATAGAGGATTCATAACACATTGGGAGGTTTTGGATGTGTGTGATGTTCGGAATCGAGGTGGCCATCCTTGATATTCTGTCTTATCAGAAGTCAGTGAAGTTCCTGGCCCAGGCCCAGCAGCACATTTCAAGGGAGTTCAATGAAAATGAGAACAGCTTCAAGGAAAGTGGCAGTGCTGGTGCCAGATCTGGAAGCTAAATGATATGAGAAACTGCTAAATAACCAGGAAAATGTCGCTCTTATCACAGAAAGGAGAAAGCTAGCGTGTGGAGAAAGGGAAGAAGTTAAGAATCTTCATATCTTGGAAATACTGCAGCTGGAAGATGGTGTAGGTTCCCCTTTGGCATTCCCAAGTTCCAGGAAGAGAGATTTTTATATCAACATAGGAAAACATTTATAGCAATTAGACATTCTCAAGAATGAAATGAGCCTTCCTATAGGTAGTGAGCACTCCATCCCTGGGCCTAATCAAGTAGTGATACAAGAAGCTCTTGTGATGGAGGTAATGGAAAGGGGATTTCTACACCAGTGGGCAATTACATTGGATGGTTCCTAAGCTTATCTTTAACTATAAAAGTCTATCAGTTCTCAAAAAGGATAGTTTCCAACTGTCTCTGCTCACCACATGGCCTTATTTATAATGATTGCTCAATAAATTTTCTGAATTGATGAATGATTGGCTGATGGAAGTATGGAAGACTTTTCTTAGTTGGTAAACAGTTCTTTTGGTCACAGATAATCAAAAACAATAAATCCAACTGACCTCAAGGAAAACAGCTCTTTTCATATTCCTTTCCACCCTCCTTTCCAAGCCCAGGTGACCCAAAAGAGTTAGAGACCAAGGGGAAGTCAAGACAGCCTGACTTGAGCAGAGGATCTTTAAAGCCACACACACAGCGCTCACATTAGAACCCTCCAGGCGTACAGCTGTCAATGTGGCTTCCCCAGAGCCTGAGCATGAACAGACACTTGTCTCAAACTCCACTCTCAGGCTTGTCATGGACAGAGTGAAAGAGAAGAACCTGTATGAGTCTTGAAATATCAGAGACTTCCTCAAATCGCCCAAGCAGAGGTCAAGCATCAAGCAGACAGTGTGGCTGGCCAAGCACTGGACCACAGGGACTCTGGGTCTGTCTCCCAACAGAGAGCTGGGCATCTGCAAGCCTTGGGCCATTACAAAGGGAAGATGACCTTTGGCAGCACCCAGATCAAACCATCTGCAAACCGTCCTGACAGCATCTGCTTACAATACTCTCTCTTCTTCTCCTGCAGAGATATTCTGAGCAGGCTGACTTTTAGCTCATGGACCAGCAGAAAAAACGGGATCCTCTCAGGGGAGATTTCCTTTAACACCACTCATCTTCCTGCCTCGGGATCATTTAGGGACATGAGGTACCGCTATTACCTCTAGCTAGACGAGTGGAGAAAGGGGAGATCACTTTGGATCCTCTTCCTACCAACCAACCAAACCACGGAGAGCGTTGCGAGCTTTGTATAGGATATAGAATAAAAATCTAGTTATCCGCCACACTTTGGAAATCTACACAGTCCCATCGGAGCCCAGTATGAGGCCACTCTCATAAACAGGTGGTGACCTGAGTGATGTAACTTAACAAAGTCCTGGGCAGTACCCCAGGTCCCAAAATAGCTTCTGTACCACTTGTCACCATATCTGAAATGCAAACATTAGGAACATTTGGCTCCTGAGAACTTTTCATTCTTTAAGAGTCACATCCTTCAAGTGGCCCTGGGGAGGGTGATATCCTGGGTCTCCTGTTACCTAAACAAGACTGCAAGAGTGTGTTGACAGCCAGCTGTGGTGAAAGGACACACAGAAAGGAGATTGGGCGTGAGATAAAGCTAGAGGAAGGAGACTCCAATAATGGTTTGTTTTGGGTTTCTATTTTGATTAGTGTTGATCTTTCTATTGAGGAAACCAATGTCCTCAATCTCTGCGCGTCTGTCTCTCACTGGCACATAAAGTGAGAATTATCTCCTGTCAGAATTATTTGGAAGAGAGTACTTCTCCCTTGACCATAACCCAACTCCCACCGTTCTCAAACATACCTGTCCTGGCACCCCTTTCCATGGAAAAGCAATGATTTAGCAAGCGGTGAGAGAGATCTGACTGTTGTACCTTGAGTGGAAAAGTTGGAGTTGAGGGGAGGTGACCACATTTAGCCTGTGTTTCTCTCTCATCTGGGCTGCTATGGATTCAACATTGGTGTCCCTTCCCTCTGCGGAGTGAGTACCCTGGAGGAGGCTAAACCAGAAGCTCCCTCTGTTCCCTCCCAATACTTGGTCGGTTGGAGGCAGCAATTCTCTGGCAAGGGTAGGGAAGGGTCTACCAGTAGACCCAATTACCCATGGGTTATAAAGTCTACATTCAGTGAAAAATATTAAGATATTACTTGTTCTAAGTCACAATTTCTGACACAGCTTTACCACTGATGAAATGAAAATATTTGGCTCCTTTCAGATTTTTATTTTCTATTATTCTATATGTTACCAAGTAGGAAGGAAAGTGGTGTGATTCATTACCATTAGTGTACACAGCACCCGGAGAGAGAAACAGTGACATTTACCTCAGAAACAAAGGAAATGAACTCAAAATGGCAATCCATTAGGATGCCATTTAAACCATAAGCTTCACATTAGTAAGCTATACATTTCAAGTCATAATACCTTCAGAGTACAAGAAATAGATTTTTCTTAAAACATTTTGTTTTCCCCCTCTGCTATACTGATTACTTCAAGTTCTGTCCTGTTAGCATCAGACTCACCAACCCACACTCACCCCCTTGAATCGATTCAACCTCACACATGCTGAGTTAGCCCAGAGAGTTCCCAAAGCCACTCTCCCTCCCACGTCCCCTCCCCTCTCCCAATGGAAGACTTACCGAGATTTTGATGATCTTGTCAAAAAGATGTACTTGAGGCCCAATGAAATCGAAGACAAAGTACTGTAAGACATAAAGTTCATTCTGACCATCAGCCCACTCTTGTGTCCTTAGGTACCCCTACACCAAGAGAGACCCCGATATCTGGAGCAAGTTTAGATCTCTATCATTCTTACTCATTGCCACCCGATATTCAGTGCCATGAATGTGAGTGAGAGTGCTGCCTAAATGTGTCTTTGAAGCAAATTTGTAGGGGGATGTGGTTCTTAGTTAGCCTTGTATCTGTGTAAGAAATAACACTGATGGCACAGTTTATCATGGCTAACCGTAAGGTTCTCAGTTCCAATCCACCAGCTGCTCCATAGGAGAAAAATAAGGCAGTCTGTGTCCATAAAGACTTGTCGTTTTTGTTAGGGGCCGTCTAGTTGACTACAACTCATAGTGACCTTATGAACAACAGCTCTGAATCTTGCCCTATCTTACCCCAGCCACACGCTCTCTGAGCTGCTCAAGCCCTTTGTAATAGTCACTGCTTCTTTCCATCTAGCTGAGGTTCTTCCCCTCAACCTTTCCCAGCAGGATGCCTTTTTATAAAGGCTGGTCTCTCCCGATGACATATGTTCAAAATATGTGAGACAAAGTTTCACCATCCTTGCCTCTAAGGAGCACTCTGGTTGAACTTCCCCTAAGACAGGTTTGTTTGTTCTCTGGGAAGTCCAGGGTATAGTCAATACTCTTCACCAATGTCTCAATTCAAAGGCATCAATTCTTCTTTAGTCTTTCTTATTCACTGTCCAACTTTCAGATGCATATGAAGCAATTGAAAACACCATGGCTTGGACCTGGTGCACCTTAGTCTTTAAACTGACATGCTTGCTTTTTTAACACTTTGGATATTTTCTCTACAGATTTCCCCAATGCAATACAAAACCTTTTGATTTCATGTCTGCTGTTACCATGGGTGTTTCTTGTCAGTCCAAGTAAAATAAACTCATTGTCTATGTAAAGATGTACAGGCTCAAAAATCATCTGAAGCAGTTCTAATTGGTCCTGTTAGGTCGCTATGAGTTACGATAGAATTAAAGGTAGTAGATTTCAGTGTAGAGAAGGATATTGTGGGGAGCTCTGGTGGCCTAGTGGCATGAAGCTGTGCTGCAATCCTAAAGGTGCACAGCTCAAATCCACCGAAGGAGAGACAATCTCCTCCTGCACCAGTCAGATCTGATTTGACAGTACACATGCAAAAACAATTATAAAATAAAAGAGAAGGATATTTTTGTTGTTGTTGTTGTTATGTGTCGTCAGGTCATCTCCAACTCATAGCAACACTATGTACAACAGCTCTGAACCCGGCTCTATCCTGTGCCAACCTTACTGTCTCTGACACAACTACCCCATAACCCCAGTCACTGAACCAGTCCATTTCATGAAGGGTCTTCCTCTCCTGTGCTGTCCTTCCACCCTCCCAAGCATGACATCCCTCTCCAAGGACCAGAATTCTTGCCTCCAAGGAGCAGCTTGATTTCACCCTCTCAAGGATGAACCTGTTTGTTCTCCTGGCAGTCCATGGTATATGTAATACTCTTTTCCAGCACCAACAGCTCAAAAGGATCCTTCTATCATCCCTAATCGTTGTCCAGCTTTCAGACTTTGCAAGTGAATGCAAAGACTAGATATTTTTTCAATAATCTGAAAGCTGCATGTACAGGAAGTGAAAGAGATTGTGACACCGAATTTGTTATAGGTAAGGTTTGGTTCAAGTAATTCATTTCAAAGTGAAGGCAAATTTACAAAACACTAAAGGTCAAGTACTAGTTATTCCATAAATTGAATGTTCGTGACCCAGGAACACGCTGTGTATCATCAACTGTCTGATTATTCCTTGGTAAAGGTCAACTAGGTTGTCTTCTGTCTTTTTCTTAAAATATATTTTTAATTATTTCTTTTTCCTCAGTTCTTCTTTGCTTTTTTCCATGCCCTACAATTTATAGCTAAACAATAGAGATGAAAACACAAGGAAGTCTACTCTCTCTTTTTTAAAAAAATATATTCATAAAATCTATTTTATGCACTTTAAAAAATTGTTATTTTATTATTTGCTTTCCTTTTTAATACATATGCAAAAAGCCATCATTCATATCCTTAAATTGACTCAGTGAGTGAGATAATGGGGGTATGTACAAGTTTGCCTCTGAAAAGCCGTCATGAGTCACATCAGGAGACGTCATGACTGATGTGCATGTACGTTTTTATTGGGCGTTAGGAAATTTCATTTCAAAAGCACTAGGTCCACTTTACATCCCCACAAGCAGCAGAGAAAGAGCCATCTCTTCCCACCTGCGCCAGCCATTGATTTTGTCATTTCTTTTTATTTTTTATGTAAAATGAAAAATGAGAACCTTGCCCACAGTACCTTCTGCTCGAGAACTTGATACAAACCTGATATTCTTGGAATTTTTTTGTTTGTTTCAAACATTCTTGAAAATTAAAGATTGAATAGAGAATGAAGGGAACTTAGAAATACGGGAAATTTTGAAGATTAGGAAAGTCATTAAATTTTAAGACTGAAGAAGTTATGTAGACCAGTCTCCTTGTTTTACAGTGAGAAGATCAAATGTGTGTGTAAGGTAATTAGATAATTAATATTAGTCTTGGGACCAAATCTTCATTCTGAAATTATACAACAATTTCCAGTATTAGATATCACACCATGTGATGTTAAGCCTCAAAAACCTCAAACTCGCTGCCTTCTAGTCTGAACCAACTGAGAACTGATCCTCCATTGGGTTTCTGCCCATTTTTCTCCTTCTGAACCACCAGTGGATTCAAACTATCAGGCAGATGTCAGCTTTGGATTAACAGCACAACCTCCTATGGACTATGTTGTTGTTCTTACGTGCCATTGAGTCTGAATGGACTCATAGCTGACCCTCCAGTGAATTTTCAGACACTGTAAATCACACAGAAAGAGGTTGCCTATCTCTCCTGCAGAGCAGCTGGTGTATTCAAACCACCTGCAATACAAACTCCTATGTCATTGTTGTTTGGTGCCGTTGAGTACAAAGTAGAACTCATAGCGATTCTATGAACAACAGATCTGAACCCTGTCCTATCCTGTGCCATCCTCACAATCTCTGACACACTCAAGCCCATTGCTGCAGTCACTGTGTCAATCTTCCTGGTCAAGGGTCTTCTTCTCCTTTGCCCACCCTTCTCTCTACAAGAAATAGCCTCTCCCAGTAACATGTCCAAAGTACATGAGGCAAAGCTTTACCATCTTTGCCTCCAAGGAGCAATCTGGCTGCATCTTCTCCAAGACAAACTCCTATAGTGTCTTTCAAATGTGGCTTTTATGAGTCTAAGATGCTGCTCCTTGGAGGCAAGGATTCTGAAGCTTCGTCTGACACACTTTGGGCATGTTGCTAGGAAGGACCAGTTCTTGGAGAGGGACCTCATGCTTGGGAGAGGGGAGGGACAGCGCAAGAAAGGAAGACCCTTGATGAGATGGATTGACTCAGTGATTGAGATAATGAGGGTAGGTGTGTCAGAGACAATAAGATTGGCTCAGGATAGAGCAGGGTTCAGAGCTGCTGTACATAGGGTCGCTATGAGTCACAAGCGATTCAATGGCACATGACAACAACAACAAGATGCAGAAATCTAGAATGGTGTTTTGGGGATTGATTGCAGAGAAGTGAGGGGGAGGGAGGATTTAGAAGCTGTTGTTGGCAGCTTCGTTTTGTTTGCTTTGAGCAATGAGGTAGAATGACAAGGCATTGGAGCTGGTACAATGGTGGCAGGAAAAGGACAAGTGACAGCTAACACCCTGCTTTCAAAGGCCAAAACAGAAAACCAAAAGGGTGGAAATGTAAAGATGCCATTAAACACTGTAATAAGATCATCACAGTGGGAACCTTACGTATCAAGGAAAGTGTACATTATGTTAAGAATCAAACAAAAATTTCAGGAACCTTTTTATTATGCGTGTTGGAATTTTTAAAGTTTTGGAGGTCAAAGAGTCTTTTATGGAAAATTCACTCACATAAAATTCTTTATTCCTGCGAAGGCTTTGGTGGCCTAGTGGCAAGAAGCTGCCCTGCAATCCATAAGGCACAAGGTTCAAGTTCACCAGCTATTCCATGGGAAAAGGATGAGCAATCTCCTCTTGTGCAATTAACTGCCTCTGAAAACCCTCTGAAGGGTGAGCGATGGGTTGTTTCCCACTCAGTGTACACACAACAACCAACAACAAGGTTAAAATATATGAGATGCTGTGGGACTCTTTGGGCTCCTATGTTAGTTCCACTATTTTCTATTTATGATCCTCTGTTAAAGTTTGTGAAGATTGTCAGCAACATACTGCATAACGTATTGAGTTGCTATCAGAAATGTCGGAAGTTCGAATCCACCAGCTACACCAAGGGAAGAAAGATGCGCCCTCTCTTCTCATAATGATTTTTCATTTTGGTTCAAGTATTGACAGCTGTGTATTATAGACTCACCCCCCTCCCACAGTCCTGTGGGGCCACATACCTTTTTCTAGCTAACAAACATTTTCCAGCCCCTCACAACTGGTGCCTTCAACATCTGATAATCTTTGATCTTGGAAATTAGGATGCGAAGTTGTAGCAAAGGTTTTCAGTTCAGTTTCTGTTTTCTATGTGATTCCCTACTCATTTCATTTGGGTCCAGTTTAATGTCATTTACATCCAAAACTTGAACACGTACAGTCAACACTAATTATGATAATGAGTAAATCTTCAGAGCAAAGCATTTTTATGTGTGTTTTCTTATGCAGTCCTCCTCCATGCCAAAAGTTGTTTGGTGGGGAGAGACGGGAGTGAAAAATTCCTACCATGGACTGCCAAGAGAACAAACAGTTCTGTCCTAGGGAGGGTAAAACTGAGCTGTTCCTTGAAGGCAAAGATTTTGAAGTTCTATCTCACATACTTTGGGCATATGGCCAGGAGGGACTAGTCCCGAGAGAAGGACATCATGCTTGGAAGGATGGAGGGACAGTGCAGAAGAGAAAGACCCTGGATGAGGTTTGACTCAGTGACTTGGGTCATTGGTAGGTGTGTCAGAGGCAGTGAGATTGGGTCAGGATAGAGCAGGGTTCAGAACTGTTGAGCACAGGGTCACTACAAGTCACAGTCAACTCGATGGCATGTGACAACAATCACTTTGTTGTTGTTAGTTGCCAGGAAATTGTTTCTGACTCCTGGCAACCTGCCACTTCCACTCACAGGAAAGAGCTCAGAGGCACTTGTAACAGAGAGAAAAGGAGTCCAGCACTTTGGAGAGATTTAGGTGTTTTCTGTTGATTTCATTACTCCTGCTCTCTCTGCTTTGTTCTTCAATTAACATTCTCATTAGCAGAATAATGAAGAGTTTACTCATTTTTTAAAAAAATATATAACTTAGGAGCTATGGTGGCCTAGTGGCAAGAAGCTACACTGCGATCCCAAAGGTATGTGGTTCAAATCCACCAGATGCTCTGCTGGAGGAGGGGCAATCTCCTCCTGTACCAGTTAGATCCAGTTTGACAATACACACACAGAATAATAAAATAAGTTAAAAAAATATAACTCATGTTGCTGAAATGCCTGTAGGAAAGAACATTTTGTATACAATTTCCTCCCCACTTTTTTCTTTTAAAACTTTTAACTGTGGCTTGAGTGAAAGCTTACAGAGAAAATTGGTTTCCCATTCAAAAGTCATGCAAACGGTTTCCCTCCTTATGCGGTATTTTGTGATATTTATCAATGTTTCAAATGCATATATCTTTTCCTTAATCATATTTATTTATAGTAAAGAAAGGCTGAAAAGTCTTCTGTCCACCAATAAGAGGCAGGCTGGTGTGTAAATAATGGCACACCAAGGCAATGAAAGCTCTTTAGCAAAGAAGAAAAGACTTTGAAACTGAGTGTAAATCCTGGTATGGATTAATCTCTAGGCTGCATTGTTTTGAAAAAGAAAAAGGCCAGGTCCAGAAATATATGTCTAGAACACTACCATTTGCATAAATTTATGTGTTTTCCTGTACAATTGTACATGATTGGAATATATATGGAAACATATCACAGACATGGCGAGGTAAGAGTAAAGCTGGAGAATTAGAGAGCAGAGACAGGAGGAAGGCTTCATTTTCCTTAATAATCTTTTGCTCTCTTTGTATCTCTTACCATAGTTTCTTTTTTTAAACATGTAATGTATTTCATTTTGAAAAGAGAATTTAGTGTTCGATACTTAGAAACTTCATGTCTCCGTTTGATGCTTTTTTCCCTGACAATTTCTACACTGTTTATGAAAAACTCAACTTATATTTTCCCACCCAGTCTACCTATTTCAAAAAAACCATTAACTTTCCAGTGCTTCTCCCTCAAAGAATAGGTATTTCCTATTCCTTCAATTCTGTCCTTTGCATTTAAGACAAGACCCACAATGAATGAATTTAAGCTTCTAGGAAATCAGGAAATGGAGCTACTGAAACAAAGCGGTACATTTAAAATAGAAAGATACTTATTGCCTTGCCTTTCCACTATCCTTTTTATAAACTCGATGGGCTGTGTTTCTGAGAAGGCTCAAACCGTTTGATGTAGGCTTGGATTATGATTGGAGCAGTGTGGAGGTGCATGGATTTTCTAGGTGGCTGGAAACTATTGCCGACTGGTGACGAGTATGATGGTGGTAAAGACGGTGTTGGTGACTCACCTCATTGTAAAAGGGGCTGTTGGTTCCTTCCTTCACTGTGCTTTGCTTCTTGTCATCCCCGATCTCAATGGTCACAACTGGATCAATGTTCTCCCCCACCAGCTGGCGGGCCTCGATGATGGTGATGGCAATCTGCAACAGAAGTCATTGTGTGCAGTGTCCCAGAAGGCTCATTCACATGGCACAGGGGAAGAGGGGCCAGGAAGAGTCAGCCACTTACTTGATAATTCTGAGATCTGACCTCCCCATCGTGGATCTTAGTCACCAGTTTTGATCTATTAAAAGAAAGTTTAGCACTTTAGTTCCTCAACTAATACTTCAGATCCCTACACTGTTGTGTTTTCAATCGTGTTGATTCTGACTCATAGCAACTCCACGTGACAAAGGGGAATTATCCCCTATGGTTTCCTTGGCTCTAATCCTAATGTGCATCTGATTCAGGCCATGGTCTTGCTGACGATTTTCTGTGCATCTGAGAGCTGGATAATGAACAAGGATGACAGAAGAATTGACACCTTTGAGCTGTGGTGTTGGAGAAGAGCACTGAACATCCCACAGACCATCAAGAAAAGAAACAGGTATATCTTGGAGACAGTGCAGCCAGACTGCTCTTTGGAGGCAAGAGTGATGAGGCTTTACCTCACATCCTTTGGGCAAGTTGTTAGGAGGGGCTAGTCCTTGGACATAATTCTAGGAAGGGTGGAAGGTCAGCAAAAGAGAAGAAGACCCTCAACTAGGTGAATTGACATGGTGACGGCTGCAATGGGCTCTTGTGTTTCAGGAAGTGTGAGGATGGTGCAGGATAGAACAGGGTCCAGATCTTTTCATAGGGTCTCTATGAGTCGTATTCACCTTGACAGCACCTAACAAAAACAATCCTCAGGGAAGGAGCCCTGGGACTGTACTCTGTCCAGTGTTGCCCTGATAACCAAATGACTGCTCAACACTAATGGTTTGAATCCATCAGAGGTTCTGTGACAGAAAGATGGGCAGTCTCCTTAAGTTCACCATCTCAGAAACCCTATGGGGGGCAGGGCTATGAGCTGGAAGCAATCCCATGGCATTGAGGTTTTGAGTTTTCAACTTTATGGAATCAGATCAACAGACAAGCTTTGCTCCTGTGTATCTTCTAGGCGCTCTGGTGGCCTAGTGGTAAGAAGCTGCATTGCAATCCCAAAGGCATGTGGTTCAAATCCACCAGCTGCACCACAGGAGAAGGCTGGGAAATCTCCTCTCATGTGATTAACTACTTCTGAAAACCCACCGGAGGGTCAGCTATGGATCAGTTCTGACTCAACAGTACACCACACAACAACAACAACAACACAGAAGCCGACCAACAGCTAAGCCTTGCTCCTGTGGAGCTGCTGAGTGGGTCCAAACCCCCGATGTTTCAGTTAGCAGCTGAATGCTTAACCATTGAGCTACCAGGGCTCCTTTAGATCATGTTGTTGTTGTTGTTGATTGTCTCCCAGTTGAGCACGACTCATAGAGACACTAGGAGCAAAAGGCCTGAAGCCCCTCTATAGCTATTGGCATTTATCAGAGTTCATAGAGTTCCCAAAGGCATGTTGTTTAGAAAGTGGATGGCACTCCTGCTTCCAACGCAATAATATTTTCCCAAATATTACCAAGTGCTCTCATTTCTATCATATCATATATTCTCCCTACATCTCTGGGGGAGCAAAGTGTATGACTGAATTACGTGACCTTTATATCTCAGTTTCCTCACCCCAAACTTGGAATCAACAACAGTATCTACTGTATTGGGTGATGGTTTAGGATTAAATAATATCACGCATGTTGAAATTCAACCCATGCCTGACAAGAAAAGAATTCACTCTTATTACAAGTATTAGTTGTTGTTGTTTTTTAATTTATGTCAGAGCTAAGTCTAAGCAAAGATCTCATCCTCCTAATCCTCTCCACAGGACCACCATGTCATTTCTTGTCGATATAACTATTCTGAACTTTGGGATTGCTTTTGAAAGAATTGGTAAAGGAGAAAATTGGAAGGAATAGTCAAGATACCATCTCAGTGAGATTTCACATTCTGGGAGAATTTCATTTATCTGAACTGTCACAGGTAATTGAAAACAGATGTGCAAAGCCTGGGCATTCAGGATTGGATAATAATATAAAGAGATGAATGAAAGACCCTGTTTTCAGAGATGCAGCAATGAGTGGAAATTCACAGAGCTTGAGTTCGCATCACATTTTGTCCTCCTGGCTCTTAGCCACACTGTGTTGCATTTCACTTCATTCATTTTCTGCTGATCATAACTGAGTCCAACAGAGAATACGCTAGCGAAAATATCAAGACTTTGGGGTCAAACCAATGTAAATGAGAGTGTTTGTTATCTCAAGTTGTGTAACTTTGAGAAAGTTTTTTAAGTTTCAATGTCATCTTCTGAAAGTGAAAAAATTTTTCACAGGGTTACTCTGAAGATTAAAGGAAGTGATGCACTGAGGAAAGGGTACAAATCTTTGAATCTATTCATCAATAAAATTGAGATTCTTTTTTGTTATTTATTATTGAAAACTCTCTGGTAAAGTTGGTTAGGGAAAAAACAAAGATGAAGAAGGCATGATCTTGACTCTTTTTAATAAACAAAAAAGAGAGGACTAAAGCATATAAAGCAAGAAATATTATGCAAATATAAAGCATAGAATAGGGAAATGTGGTAAGAGTTCAAAGAAGATAGACATTCCTGAGGGTCACAGTAAACAGCAAAGGCCTCTCTACGGAGACCGGCTGTGAACTGAGCACTGGTGGGTGGGCAGAACTTCAATTCATAGAGACTGGACCAGTCAAAGAGATAGGAAATGTTGCCATTCCTGGCTTCTCTTTCTCTTGCCTTCCTCCATTTGAAGTTGTTATCTTGAAATAAATGGCAAAGGGTGAATTGAAGGATATTTAATGCTTGCTCAGGAACTGAGAGTGGGAAGAGTTATTATGGAGCAGTCCAGGGGAAAGAAGATATGGTGGTGAGGGCATACAAATCTCACATCATCTCAAACAAACGCTCCGAACTTGTCACCTCTCAGCAACAACTCAAGATCTGATACATACAAAAGGAATAGCTTGCTTTAATAGTACAACTCTTTGTGAGAAGATCATGGAAGGGCATTGAGAGTTTATCATGAGTAAGGAATTGACATAAGCAAATACAGTAAATAGCATTGGTAGTCTCGATTACTGGTATCTCTGGACTCTTTCTTTGCTCTGAAACTGCAGTCCCTCCCACTCTGGCCTTGGGATTTGTGCTGGCCAATAGAATGCAGCACAGTTACTTTGGCCAGTTCTGAGCCTAGACCTCAAGAAGCCTTGGACAAATCCATATCCTCTTATAAAACCCTACCATTGCCACTATTGGGACTAGGCTAGTCTGCTGGAGGATCTCAGGTCACGAGACCAGGATTCCAGTGGTCCTAAATGAAGCCGAAGCCCTCCTAGACTACAAACATCAGACCTTCAGACCACAGTCAGTACAGCCACCAGTCTACCGTTGCTGGCCAGAGACCCATAACAACCAGTCTGTAATCAGCTAAGGCCAGCAAAACACCCAACTGAGCCACAGACTCATGAGAAATAGCATATTATATTATTATATTTGTTGTTGTTTGTTGTTATGTGCCGGGCCAAGAAGAAAGACACAATCTATACAGGAGTTCTACAGGACACATCACCTTCCCTTCTGAGACAGTACAACTAAACTTAAGAGACCCTGGACACAGAAAAAAAAAATTGTCAGCAGTTTACATGTTTGGAATCACAGGAGCCAAGAAAGCTTCAGATACAAGCTGTTAGATCATGGGTTGGACAATGGGAGATTAATTCTGAAGGCATTTGGCAGAAGTGAAGGGGTATCCTGGTGGAGGGCGGAGCTGGGAAATAAGTGGGTCAAGGCACTGGGATAAGGGCAGGGACTACACTGTAACTAATTGTTAACTCCACAATGAGGGATTTATCTTTCACTGCTCCACAAATTGCTGTCTGTCAGATACTCCTAAACATTCAGATTAAGACAGACTACGAAGAAGAATTGGCCATCCACTTCTGAAATAGCAGGCCTCTGAAAAGCCTAGAGTAAAACATTATTCTATTTCTATTCAATTCTATTCTATTCTATTCTATTCTATTCTATTCTATTCTATTCTTATAGTATTTATAGTATTTTTTCCACTTATTTGGAGGGGAGATTTTTTTGCATTATCAGTATTTAACAGAGAGGGCAAATTACAAACTAACGAATATAATACATTGTTGGCAGAAGGCCAGTTTGTTTGACCTTTTGTTTTTAGGTGCCATTGAGTTGAGTATGACCCACCGTGACCCTATGAACTACAGACTTGAACCCTGTCCTATCCTGTGCCATCTGCTCCTTTTCCTTTGGTAGAAGTGGCATTTCTTTGGGAAAATACAACACCTTGATAAAACCTTTGAAAGAGCAGGGAGTGGCAGCTCCTGATTCTGTCTTCTGCTTCTTATGGAAGATTTAAGAAGCGGTAAAGCTGGGACCCTGGTCTACGGAAGGCTGGCCAGTCAGGAGTCCCACAGTGTCACAAAATTGAGCTGGCACCTTAAGCTCTTATTGTCGTGGAACTTTGGCGCCTTGAGGCCAGTGACGAGGTCTTACTCTGCTCTTTTCATCCAAGCCTGCAGGGGTACCCAGCACCAAGGAGGGGCTCAATAAGTAATGTTTGGCTGCCTCCTCGCAACTGTACCTTCTCTTCAGAGGCGCAGGGGCAACAGGAGTGACGGAAGAATTGTTGTAGACCAGCTCTCCTCCTGGTCCTTCCTGGTGGGACGATCCCTCCTGGGGTGCTTCTCCTTCTCCTGGAACTTCTGCAGTCACAAACAAAGAAGGAAGGAAACCCTTGTTAAATAGGCCACCGAGGCAACTGAGCTCTGTGTCCAACACCACCATGCTGGCATCATGAAGGGTACAAGAGTGTAAAGTCGCCCCACCTGCATGAAAGCAACATTCTGTTGGGAGGAAGGCCAGATAAACACCTTGATTCTTCCCAGAAGGAATGCATCTTCTATGCATTTGCAAAACAGAGATGGGGTAGATTTATACGCATGGTGTTGTGAAAAGAAAATTTGACCCTAAGTTTAAGGCCCCTGCTTTTAAGTCATGATTGTACCATTTCCTAGAAATAGGAGACAGAAGCCATTCTCACTGAGTCTCCAAGGGGATGTCACACTTCCAGAATGAGGACCAGCTTTGAGCAGCGAAGGTTTAGAAAATGTAAATGGATGGTGAACATTCTCTAGATGCTCTTCTGGTAGCCAGGGATTCTGACTTAAGTGCTCTTTGTTATGAAGATGGGTTACAGTCTCCAGGTGACTCCGATGTACAGTAAAGCTGTGAGCCATGCCGAGGATGCTCCCAGGAAAGACAGCAGGCAGGGAAGGATGAAGGACAGATCCAGGGGGACAAATAAGAGTTCAGCAGGTGTCTGCTTCCCCAGGCTGGGGACACCTGAGTCTGCCATTATAAATCCAGAACACAGCACAGGCTGTGTGATGCTCAGCAGATACCCCACTAATGTTTGTTGGATACGTGAATGATCATAAGAGGTACCCAATTAAATTTTTGTTGGGCAACTGGATAATGGATGGATTGAGGGTAATTAGAATTTTAGGAAATTACGGCATAGCCCATATCCCTCAACATGAAAGAGCCAGTCACGTTGAGACACAACTAAAATTGCTTCCAGAAAAGCCCTAACTTCCCAGGCCAAGCCAATCTCTAGGACTTTGTGTTGTCATACTCCTAAAGTGCTGACCAGGCCCAGCGGGAAGATGCTGTTTGTTTTCCAGGCGGGCCCTGACTCCTCCTGAGCTGTTTACCTTGTGGGCTGAAGACTAATTAGAAGGAACCACAGGAGTCAGCTTCCTCACCAGCTTTCCCAGCCTCTGAAAGGGCCCACAGCTCCACCAACTCATTCCGAAATGGAGATTACGCCCTGGGTAGCAAAGTTGAGGCACTGTTGGCAAACTGGCCTGGATCCAGGAATCAGTCTCTCTACTGATTAGCTGAGTGGTTTTCGGCAAGTCACCCACATGCTCTAAACTTTTCTAAATTGTTGTGAAGTGCATCTATTTTAGAGCTATGAACAATGCGTCATATAGAACGCAGCAAGGCCTTGTTAACTATGTCATAAAATATTTTTACATCATTAAAGGGAACTCTGGTGGCTTGGTGGCAAGAAGCTGCACTGCGATCTTGAAGGCATATGGTTCGAGGTCACCAGCTGCTTCTGTGGGAGAAGGATGGGCAAGCTCCTTCCGTGTGATTAACTGCCTCTGGATACCCACTGGAGGGTTAGTTACGGGTCAGTTGTGACTCAACTGTACACAATAACAACAACAATATTCTTGAAGGAAAAATTTATTTTCATCAAATCTATGCATCTTTGCAATCCCTTGTTATGCATCAGAGAGTTGGACAATGACCAAGGAAGATAGAAGGAGAATTGATCCCTTTGAGCTGTGGTGCTGGAGAAGAGTATTGAGAATACCATGGACTGCTAGGAAAACAAACAGATTCATCCTGGAGAGAGTTAAACCAGGCTGCTCCCTGGAGGCAAGGATTCTGAGGCTCCATCTAACATCATGCTTGGGAGGGTGGAGGGACGGCGCAGGAGGGGAAGGGCCTCTATGAGGTGGATTGATTCAGTGACTGGGGTAATCGGGATGGGTGTGTCAGAGACAGTGAGGTTGGCACAGGACAGAGCAGGGTTTAGGGCTATTGTACATAGGGTTGCTATGAGTCGCAAACAACTCGACGGCACATAACGACAACAACAACAATGCCATCAGAGCCTACTGAAACGTCATCATTTTAAGGACACCAGGAAAGGTCCCCAAAGCTTTCTCCACCCACGCATTTAAGCCCTCAATTTGACTCAGTGAAGTGCTTCTATCTAGCTTTAAGCTTCTCCTCATTTCAAATTATCCACTCAAATTACCCTATCCGAGGGTCATTTGAAAAGTCATTATTGGGAACCCTTTAGCATGAATGAGCTTCCATAGTTGTCTACTGTAAGAATAAGCTCAGGCCCCAGGTAGCAGTCACGCCTGTCAAAGCCTCACCTTGTGCAGCCTTGTTGGTTAGGATTAACCCCTGCTCTCCTTTCTTCTTCTTCTTCTTCAGCTTTAGCCCAAACATCCCCTTTCTGAAAGGAAGAAGGAAAAACGCTAAATGACAGCAACAGTCACCGAGGCAACCTCATCATGTTTCTGACTGTTGTTGAGTTGGTTCTGACTCCTGTGACCCCCTGAGAGTCAGGCAGAATTGGGTTCCATGGAGACAAGGTAGACCTTACACACAGGGCCCTCCTGGAAACAGATCTGCTTCCACATCTGCCAGGACTGAGGTCAAAGACAAGGGTCAAGGCGACCCAGTGAGTGCTCCAGACAACTCTGCTTATATCGAAACCAGGGAAACCCAGACTGAAAAGGAACCATGGAGCCCATCTGGAACGGCCCCTGAAGGAGGCATAGAACAGCTCTTCCTGACAATGGCTGGCATTTCTCAGCGTTCACCCTGTCAGACACTATTCTAGGCATTTGAAGGAATAACATCACTTAATCATCACAGTGAACCCATACTATCCACTTTATAGATGAGAAACCAAGGCCTGGAGAAGGTCAGCAGTGTTTCCAAGGTCACACAGCGCCTGAGCTACAAAGCTATCAGTAGAAACCAGGTTGGTCTGATTTTAGAACTGAGGCTATAACCACTGATAAATCCTGAGCCCTCTAACTCCCACAAGCTAAGAGAATGTTCCTACCAGAGCTGGGCAAGAGGCCCTGGGACTTAATGAGGTCAACTGACACATAGCATGCACCCAAAATGCCAGCCACTATTGATATAATCAGCCATGAACAGGAAGCCATTCTGAGCTTCCTGGGAAAGGGACGCGCCACTGTGATTAACAGACCAACCAGCCGCTCCTGATGCTGTCTTCTGAGGGAATGGCTCTCTGGAGCTGAGGGACAGAAGAGCTCAGGGTTCTAGGTGCAAGGGTGGCTGGACAACATCCAAAGGGAAACATCAGCCTTGCTTCAGGCAGGCTCATTGGTGCCCCTTCATTCAAAATAGGAGAAGCAAAATTGTGTTTGCAGAAGTGAGGCAAAACCAGCAAAAGCTGAAAGCTTCCACTGACGATGGTGTGATGCTGTCTCAGAGTGCATGAAAATGAGCAGAAAAACCAAAAGCTTCCATTTTGCTCACCTATTTGGGATTTATGAGGTACTACAGTGGTTAGTATACTGGAAGCAGGAGTGGCATCCACTTCCTAAACCACATGCCTCTGGAAACTCCATGAACTTTGACAAATGATAGTTATAGAAAAGCTTCAGGTCTTTTGTTCACAGGGTCACTATGAGTCGTGCTCAACTTGACAGCAATCAACAACAAAGTGGTGAAGATCCAGGCTTCCATAGTTAATGGTTGGATTCTAATCCCTGCAACCCGTAGAGGTCGCTTAACCCTCTGAACTTCAGAGTCCTCATCTGTACAACGAGAGCCGTAATACTAGGTATTTGGTGACAAGGTAAATTTGGTACAGTATCTGGAACATAGTAATTATTCAAAAAGGTTAATTGTTTCTTGTTCTGAAGAGGAAAGTTTGGATCAATGCATGAATCCACCAGGAGATAGATGTCTCTGTTTTCTTTGTTATGTTTAAGTCCTGCCTTGATTCAGACGAGGAATTCAGGAGCTGAGGAACTGAGCATCCTCAGATGGTGCGTCCAAATAGTGGAACTGGTTGATGTGCTGGAGATGCTGAGCCCCTTCTTCTGGAGGTGTTATCTGCAGAGGCCTGGAGGCCACTGGTAAAGATCATTTTAGAGGCAACGTGTGTCCAAAGGGTGGGCTGTCCTGGGGGAGCTTGGAGATCCCGAGACAGAGAAGAAGGAATGAACCGTCAAACCACCTAGACCGGAATGGGACTCCTAAGTCCTTGCACAAATGAGAGTGCCTCTCTGAGCTCGGTTTCCATGTGTGTGTGATGAAGATTGTGATGAACACCTTGCTTTACAGTGTTACTGTGAGAGGCCAAGCAAATAAGTGAAGCTCCTGGAACCACGTTTGGTGTTCAGTGTTGAACAACTATTATCAGGGATCTTCTCCAAGGTAGCATTTGTTTCCGCTCAGTTTGCCACCATCCTCTCTGATAAGGACATCATTCAGCCTCCCGGAAAGCTCTCAGAACATACCTAAAGGGGAATCTCCTTTTTCCAAAACTACTAAAATAGAATTTTCAGCAACAATCCTTGCTCTCCTATTTTAAAGAGTAGTTAGCACATAGAAGACCCAATGGAGAAAAAGCCAGTGCCTTTCACACCCTGAGCTGGAATGTGGTCACAAGTGCTCGTTGCCATGATTGTGTCACAGAAGCAGAATCCTATGTTCCTGAGAACTTCGCCAATGGTCTCTGAGGAAGCCTCAGTGACTATTTGAAAAGGCTGAGTTGCTTCTACCCACAAATAGAAAGTTGCTACTAAAATTGATGAAATCTATCCAATGGAGGTACAAGATCCTCCAGAAGAAGTCATCCACGTGGAGGTGGGTCTCAGAATTCTAGATTTTCCATCAGGAATCTGGTGAACATTGAGGCATGCTCAGTGTCATGCCTTGGACAGAGGAAGAGAGCAAGAGACATCACCTCTTAGAGGCAGCCCTCCAGTCCCTGTGTGAACCTACCCACCACATCTGTCCATGACTAGGGTCAAGGATACCCCCTGAGTGCTTCAGGCAGCTCTACTTTTACAGAAACCAGGAAACCTCAGCCTGCACAGAAACCAGGAGGTCCACCTGGAACCAACCCCATGAGTCTTCAAAAACACCTATATCTAGGCCTCACTTTCAAGATCCTAATTTCATTAATTGTGGCTGAGCCGGTGCTGAGAACTCTTATGTAGTACAGCTTGGACCCTCCTACAGAGCAAGTCATTTCAAGAAAGCTTCCCCTAATACTCAGCAGACTTACAATGAGCTTCACTCCGCTGGGTGGGTTCATGTTTGTTTCACAAACACACTAAGTTGTTTGCCTGAAACCGTGAGTCAGTTATCAAAGGCACTCCCAGCGTGATTCCCAGCATGCAAAGGCTTCTTCGTGAGAACCTACTTCTCTTTCAATAGTAGAGAATGCTGGTGCCACTGGAGCAGGGGAATTTAGAGACGTGAGACCCAGTCAGGGAGCCTGCTTGAATCTGTTTGCTAAATGTAATATTTGGAGCTGAATGTTGTTGTCATTGTGGTTAGGTGCTGTAGAGTCAAGTTCAACTCATAGTGACCTTATGAACAAAAGATCTGAACCATGTTCTATCCTGCACCATCTTCATACTTTCTGATGCACCAGAGCCCATTGTAGGAGTTACCATGGCAATACATCTGGTGGAGGGTCTTCCTCTCCTTCACAGACCCTCCACATTTCCTAACATCACAACACTTTCCAAGGAATAGTCCCTCCTAGTAACATGCCCAAAGTATGTAAGACAAAACCTCATCTTCTTGCCTCCAAAGAGCACTCTGGTTGCCCCCTCTCCAAGACATGTCAGTCTGTTCTCTTGGCCGTCCATGGGATGTTCAGAGCTCTTCTCCAACACTTCAGCTCAAAGGCGTCAATTCTTTCTCTGTCATCCTTACCCATTGTCCAGCACACAGTTGCATAGCAAGTTTACAGAAAGACTATGGCCTGAATCAGGTGCACCTTAGTCCTCAAACTGACATCATTACTCCTCAATAATTATGGGAGGTCCCAAGCTGCAGATTTTCCCAGTGCAAGGCATCTCCTTATTTCCTGACTGCTGGTACCAACGGTGTTAATTGTGGATCCAAGCAAGATGAAGCTGTTGACAGTTTCAATTTCCTCTCCATCCATCATGATGTTGCCTATTGGTCCAGTGGTAAGATCTTTGTTTTCTTAAACTGAGATGTAATTCACACCAAAGGCTGGATACTTATCTCAAATTAGCACGCTTCTTCACATGTGACAATTTCTTACCCAGTTCAAAGTAGGGGTGTGTGAAATAGTAAATATTTTTTGTAAACTGTAAACTACACTATGCTACATATTACTGCAATGCTGATGGCAAGGACACGTGCTATAGTATCCCCCCTGAGCTAGCTTATTGATTTATTTTACAATATATGGAACACTTATTATGTGCCAATTTTACCCAAATTATCAGCTAGTAGCCTCACATTATGGTACATGTCATAAATCCCTGTTTTTGTTGTTGCGTACCACCAAGTTGGAACCTGTTCATAACTGACCCTCCAGCGAGTTTTCAGAGGCTATAAATTGCATGAAAGGAGACTGATCATCTTTCTTTTGTGGAATTGGTGGATTTGAACCATGTGCCTTTGGTTTGCCAGTGCAGCTCCTTACAACTAGGCCAACAGCTCCCCCTTACAAATGAGAAATTGTCAGAAGAACTCAAGTCAGCAGATTGGGATCAACCAGTACATCAGAGAGACTTACCTGTTAAGTGTCCCAGGTACACAGCATCCCTTCCATTTTGCTGAGACCCTCCCACTACAGAAAATGGGTTGAATTCTTGGGTTTGGATCTATTTACGCTCCACCCCAGGACACCTCAGGATTAGTAGGCACATACACAGAAAGCCCCATACCAACCTGGTCTCCTCAGGGTGAAAGCTACCATGAGTCCGATATCTGTATCCAAACAATAAGAACATTAGGTATCACACGTGTTAGTGACTGAAGCACATCTGTTCAAGGCAGTGCTGCTCCTTGTTGGAGCTCGGGGCCTGCGCCACCAGGAAGGTAGCCAGCCTGGCACCACCAAGAAGGAGCTGGGTGGCTGGAGGATGGGTCTCGTCTATACCCCTATCTATCTATGTCCAGTTGACTGCTCTGAGCTTCAGGTCCTTTTCTTGGGGAAGTGGCAATAAGCTTCACCCTTCACAGGATAGTGTATGTGGTACCTTATCATCATAAACTGTTATGAACTCTTCAAATGGCTAATTTAATGTCATGTCCATGACTTGGTGGCACCAGCATTAAGAAATGGCTTACAGTTTTCCACATGTGTCTCCGGGTTTCCTTTCTGGAATGATTTTTATATGATCAGTGCAGAAGTAACTCTGGCCAGGACACCAACAGTAAGCAGACAGTGTCAATGGTATAGTAGA